CAAGAGCGAACATCCAAACAACTTTAATACACTATTAAATTGTCGACAATACCTACTTCCTTTCTCACCTCGCGCAGGGTCCCCGCAGTCTCCCAGACTCCCGGGAGCACCGAGCAGCTCAGCGCAGGGCTGGGGAGGCCGTCTGTGGGGCGTGGTCAGGGAAGCAGTTGGCCGTGCAGGAATCGAGACCTTTCCCACCTTTAAGCAATTAAAAACTGGAAAAAAGATGGGTTTTAATGTAGCACATTTTTAAATAAAATGGTATGGTATGAAAGGATATATTTCTTTTGCTATTTTAAATTTTATGCTCACCAAACCAAGTTAAAACAAGGAGAGTTAAAATGTTAGTAATGTATTAATTTCTACCATCCAACTACACATGTCTTGCTTTAATTTCTCTTGATCTGGAAGAAAAGAAATTCCTAGAAACATGCAAGTAAATTCCTAGAAACATGCAATCTTCCAAGAAGAAACAGAAAATCGAAACAGACTGATTAAAGCCAGCAAACTCAAATTGGTAACCAAAACCTTTCAACACACCAAGTCCTGGATCAGAGGTGAACTTTACAGGTGAACTTTACCCAACATTCAAAGAAAAATTAACACCCATCCTCCTCCAACTATTCCAACAAAAATAACAAAGCCACAAGAAATAAGAAAGAAAATAATGGAACAAAGGACACGAGACGTGGAGCTGGTCTCCGCAGAGTCGGGCCTGCTGGGAGCTCCCTTGCTTCCTGCTCTCCCGCCGACTGCAGCTGACTGCTCAGGGTGCCGGTTCTGGCCTCCCCGCAGGTCCTTTGGTGCTACCCACTGTCACAAGCTGTCCACGTCTGGCTCCCGGCAGCCTGTTCAAAGCATCAAGTGATCCACACTCTGTGATGTCTCCACAGGGCTTGGCTGCGTGTAGGAGGAGCCGATGTGCTCTAGTCCAGCATGTAAGCAGAATGTGGCCCAGGGACAGGCTGGGAACATCCTAATGCACCTGGGATTGGCCTACCCCACCAGCCAGCTTTCAGACTTAGTCACTGAGAAAGTTGTATCTGAAAGGGCTTATGGCAGAATCAGGGGCTCAGTCCTCTGGGTCTCTGTTGCGGGGAGGTGCTGTTCAGACTTCAGGGAGGATGGTGTGTATGCTCTCCCTTCCAGAGCCACATGGGAGTCTGTCCCATAATACTTCCCTGACCTTGGCAGGGCAGAGCCCCTCGTGTGCAGTCCAGTAGGTCTGCTGGGAGCTGGGAGTTTCCCTCAGCTCTCCTGTGAGGGGGGAGCACCAGGCAGGTTCCTGTTAAAGTGGGGACACTGCCCACCTCAAGCCAGTCACTGACACCCTAAGAGTGTCTGACCTGTAGGCTGGGCCGCTGCTGCCTCCTCAGGGCAGGGTGAGCAGCGTGCCGGAGGGTGGGGTGCACAGGGTTCTGAGGGTGGGCAAGCTGCATCACTGCAGGTGAGGTACTTGCCTTTCCCCAGGCTGTTGCTGCTGGAAGGCCTTAGTGCCTCTCAGGAAAAGTGGCTGCTGCTTTTCCACATCTTCCCCAGTGCCCCCACCCAGACCCTCCTCAGGCAACTCCAGTCTTCACCGCCCTCTTTCCACCACAGCCTCAGTGAGCAGCTGCGAAGGAAGATCCTGTGATTTCTTTTTAAGTGGCTTTTTCTTGGACAGCCTCTGCTTCCCCTGGCTGAGAGATGCCCTGCCACCTCTTACGGATGGATGGATGCTACTTGGGCTGCTGCTCTCTGCTCTGGTGACATGGGCTGGGGAGCCCAGCCGGGCACCCGGGCTTCGCTCCTCTCTGGGAAAATCCCCCACAACCAATATGTCTCTCCTCACCCTTCTCCTGCCACTGTGGGACAGGGGCCAGATCCACTCATGACCCCGCCCTTCCAACCAGTCTCTAGGTGTGTGTGGAGGATTATAAGACAGGAATTAACTGGATTTCATAATAGTGATATTTAAAGTTCACCAGACATACCCAGTGACTAAAATGACAAATTTTAATAAAACTTTTTCTTCAGACTTTTTTACAAAATCAAGTTTTTCTAAAAGCTACAAAACCCACATGAATAAATAAATACAGGCTAACAACTCTCTAGGGTTGAGGAATGACTCTACACCTTCACTAAACGTAAAGGTTGAGCTGTAGCTTTGCTCTGCAAAGGCAATGTAGGAAGGTAGCTCAGACTGTGCAGCCAGGCTGCCTGCAGCAGATTCGGGTCTGCCAGGTTTTAGCTGTGTTCCTTCTCTTTGCCTCAGTTTCCTCATCTGTAAAATGGAGATAATACAGGTAACTCAACACTGACCTTTAGGATGAAGAGTACATATGTACAAAGTTCCCTGAATGCTCCCAGGCACATAATAGCAAACATCAGCCTTGCTTTGTGTGTAATTAGCACCTACTTCCTTAGCCTTCCCAGTGTCCCTGTCATGTGACGTGTGGCCTATGTTCACCAATTTGGTCACCAAGGGTGGGGACACAGAATGAAAGGCAGCAGGCAGTGGGGGACTGACCTTTCCTTTTCTACTGGATGTGCACAAATGTGTCCAGAAAGTGTGACAAGAAAGGTAAAGTGAAAGAGTGAAAATGTCCCAACACAGCTCTGTCTCCACAGCTGAAGGGTGAAGCAGGTGGATCTGAATCTCAGGGGAACGTTGTGGTAGCTGTGTGGTGAAGATGATGATGGAGATGAAGCTGCTGTCACTATGGGGAGTATGGAAAGTGGCCTGGGGTCCCTGAGGAGATGCCTCTTTGGTCTGAGTTATTTGGAGAGGAGCGTGAGGATCTGGGTGAGGTTGGCATGAAGTTTGGGGAGTCAGGGCTGGGGGACGGTTCAGGGGCCGAGCCAGACATGACCCCACTCTCCTGTGGGGCAGACATGGTGCAGACCCCTGCCGCTCCCAGGACACCCCGCCCCCTCTTCTGACTGCAGCAATAGAGGGAGAGTGATGTGTGTGGAGTGGAAATGTGTCTTCCCAAGAAACGCGGACATCAACAAAGCAGACAGACGGACAGACGTTCCCTTTCCAAGTGCTCTGTCCTCTGTGGGCAGAATTCGCTTGCAGGTGGCAGGAGCTGTGAGCACCAAACACAGGCAGCTCAGTTACTGGTGTGCACACTGTTGTCCTAGAGGACGTGAGCCCAGGCAGGCCAGGTTGGGTTTAAATAAGGACAGTTGCGGCCGCGGTGCATCATGGGAGGAAGGGGCGGGGTTTCACACCTCCCTCCCCCGGTTTATTCCAGCTGTCCCCGCTGACTCTGCCCAGCAGGAAATTGCTGTCTTGACTGGACAGTCAGTTTAAAAACTTCAAACACTATAAGGCAAGGACATAAATGCTTGGATTTAGAAAGTTACATTAGGAATAGCAATTTCTTGCTGGGCAGAGTCAGCGGGAATTACTGAATAGGTTTTCTTTAATGGTTGCCAAAAATTCTACTCAGCTAGAAGACTGGCCTACTGATGGGACAGTTAGTATCTGCCAATGAAATCACGTGACTGCTGGTCCCCTGTGGATGCTGGTACCTTCGGTGATTACTAAGGGGTATGTGGTCATGGAGAAGGGTGTTAAGGAATGAACTACATAGAACAGAATCCTTAGAATACAGATCCATGTATCAAAATATGCCAGTCTTGGACAGAGTAGTCCTTGAAGATGGTTAATCATGAAATACAAGAAAAGTAAAAATTGCTACTCACTCAGGCTCTGATCAAGTTAGTAGCAATTCTTTTCAAAACTACCATTAGTGTAACTTGTGGCATCCCCCGCATCTTTTCAGGAAGGCTGTCCACTCCTTTCACAGTGCTCAAGTGCATGAGGGAGAACAGAATGTACACCTGATTCTGCGACTGAACAGGTGAAATCTGTGAATTCTATGGAATTTGCCCAGGAATAAAAGGGCTAACACTGTATGTGAAGAATGTCTGTATAAGCCGCACAAAACAAGTATATGGTTAGGGACTGAGTTACTTGAAGACGTGCTTATTTCCTGTGGCCATGAGTGTGTCCTGCGGCTACAGGGTCAGCTCTCCTGGGTCTCCAGCTCAACATCTATAGATCTTGAGACTTCTTGGCCTCCATACTCATGTCAGCCACTTCCTTATAAATCTTCCTGTTTCTCTGGAGAACCACGACTAATACAAGTATGTTAAGAAAGTTTAGAAACCATGCAATGTGTTTTTATCAGTTTAAGAATTCACTCAAACACATTAAATAATCATATGGTTTATTATTGTAAGACAAATAATTTACATTAGGGTTTGTTGCATGTGTGTCCCCTAGGTCCATGAAAACCCTGAAGTACCAAGCCTTGGAAACTGAGATGGATATACCTGCAAAGGCATTTGGGTACACAGGAAAGAATATACTACAATGGCAAAACAATTAACTGTGAAAGGTGACCAGAAACTTTGCTATAAATGAATTTCAGAGTCTTACAATGATATTGTAAATAAGGAAGTGATTGCTGGTGCCAGAAACCAAGACAGAAATATGAGCAGATGCAACTACAAAAGCACATCTTGATAATAAAGAGAAGTGGCACACTAACAAAAAGATGTGCTGGAGGTAGTTGCCCAGACACGTGTACAAGTGGCTGCATCTAGAACGTACATAATTGCTTCTTGCAAACTGATGACTAAAACATTTCCTCACGGGACTTCACAAAACTGCAATTTTGACTATCATGAAAAAAAAAAAAAAAGATGGTCTACAAAGTCTGTTGAAAGGAAAGTAGACAGCCTGAATTCACTTAATGGTTAAAGTCCTCATCGTGAATAATGAAGGAGATAGCCCTGTGGTTAGAGTGTCAGCCCTAGAACCAAGGAGTCACAGGTTTGATTCTGGTCAAGGGCACATACATTGCTTGTGGTTTGGTCCCCGGCCCTGGTCAGGGTCATGTGGAAGGTAACCAGTTGACATCTCTCTCATGTTGATGTTTCTCTCTCTATCCCTCTTTCTCCCGCCTTCCCACTCTATTTGAAGATTTTTATAAATAGAAAAATATCCTTTGTTGAGAATTTTAAAAAATAATTATGGAGGAGACAGTACCCATACTCTGGTTTGGAAATCAATACATAAGACGACCAAGGTGATCACACACTAACAATGGATTTTGAAGCCATAAGAAATACTTGTTTTAAATACCCAGTGTGAATCCACAAACTTGGAATGTAAGTCTTGATGCGGACTCTACATTGTGGGAAGGGGAGGGGTTTGTGGGCAGGACAAGGTGGCTTTAGACAGCACTTGGCCAACCAGAACGAAGGCGAAAGCCAATTCCTGAGCATTACAGAGTTTTTCTGTATTTTATGCTCACTCGATAACTGACTTTCACACTGCCACACTTGGAATATTATCTCCGCAAAGAGTAGCAAATAATATCTGGAAAACACTAACAAAAGAATGAAATTCCCTGGTTGGCACAAGCACACAATTATTTAAAGATAAAAAAGCTGTCTAAAAATTCACACTAAACTTCCTAGTGTTTTTAAAGAGTTTTGGTTTCCTTCTATCACAGTGTGCAGTCTGCAAACCCATTCTGCCAATCCTATGTGCTTAGCAAAAAATGGAGCACACAGACACAGATTCTAGGACCTCGGAGAACTAGACACAAACATAAATGGCCTGAGAATTCCAGACATGAGATTTTCAGCGAAATGATGATCATTTCATGTGTAGCACCTATACGCAAGGTGCCGTGGAGCATAAGACGGCATCACCCCACGCACTGGTGAAGGATGCAACATAGTGAAGAACAAGGAGGCACAGCAACAGCCTGTCACAGACACCGACCCAGGAATGTCACCGGGACAGAATTTTTTTCACAGCATGGCTTCTCTGATGTTGAACAAGGTAAGACGTCCGGGTGAAGCCTTTTCCACATGCATCGCACTCATGGGGCTTCTCACCAGTGTGGATTTTCTGGTGCTCAACAAGGCTTCTGCTCCTCGTGAAACTTCTCTCACACTCATTACATTTATAAGACACGGGAGCCTCGACATCCCCCTCCTGGCTCTCCACCTTCCCGGGACTCTCCCAACTCTCCCCACACTCAGGAATCCGAACGTTTCTATCGCTATGGACCCTCTGATGTCTCAGGAGATGTGAATTCCGCCTAAAAGCTTTCCCACATATGCTGCACTGGTATGGCTTCTCCCCGGTGTGGATTCTGTGATGTTCAAGGAGGCTGCAGCTCTGGCTAAAGGTCTTCCCACACTCATCACACTCATAGGGCTTCTCCCCAGTGTGTGTTCTGTGGTGCTTGGTAAGGTCTGAACTGTGACCGAAGACCTTGCCACATTCTTCACACACATAGGGTTTCTCACCAGTGTGGACTCTCTCGTGAATGACAAGGGCCGAGCTCGTGATGAAGGACTTGCCGCAGTCTTCACACTCGTACGGTTTCTCTCCAGTGTGGATTCTCCTGTGCTTTGTCAGGCCTGAACTCTGAGCAAAGCTCTTTCCACATTCATGGCAAATGTGCCGCCTCCTTCCACTGCCACTGTTCTGCTTTCTTTGTAACCGGCCCTCCTGTTCACCGACCCCTGCACATGTAGCTGACTGGGCAATGGCTTCACCCACGTGGCCCAGCGTCTTCCCGGGCTCCTGTCCCGGGTGCTCCTCACCTAGCGGCAAGTCTCGGATCTTCATCTGCATTTCACCACCTGAAACAACAGAGAGCCAGCAACTGTCAGGTACACCTGCCACAGAGGAGACCTCTCTGCTGAGTCCAAGGAGGCAAGAACAACACAGGTCTGTCTGCACCCTGGATGAGGGTATAAGTACGAGAACCAGATGGAAGTACAGAGGGAGAACAGGAGTGCTGGGGAGGAAAGAGAAGGGAATGGGAACGGGTCCGTCAGAAGAAAGGGACAAATGAGAATGGAGGGCAGGGGTGAGGACTGTGCTGGGGATTCATGCAGAGGTTCTGAGTTCCAGGGATAATCAGGCAGGGCCATGCACTGAAGACTAAATAAGAAACAGCTCGGCAGCCCTGGCTGCTTTGGCTCAAAGGTTAGAGCGTTGGCCTGCGGTCCAGAGAGACCCGGGTTCAGTTCCTGCTAAGGGCACGTACCTCGGTTGCAGTTTGTCCCCAGCCCTGGCTGGGTCATGCGGGAGGCAACCACTCGATGTGTCCATTTCACATCGATGTTTCCCTCTCTCACTCTCTCTTCCTCACTCTCCCTCCCACTCTATCTGAACAAAAAATAGAAAAAATGCCCTCGGGTGAGGATAAAAAAAAAAAAAAAAAGAAACGGCTCGGCAGAAGGCGACCGAGTGTAAGCAAGGTAAGTGAAAGGGCTTTCTGACATGTTCTGTACAAATCAGAGAAAGAAGGAGCTCAGGAAAGGGCAGGCACCTCTGCTCTCATCCCAGGCAGAGGCCAGGTGCCCACACGGAACTGGCTTCCAAGCTGGAGGATCCGAGTCAGAGTCCCCGCTGCACCCCCGGGGCCATGTGAACTCAGACAAGCCAGGACATCTGTGAGCCTCTGCACCCTCCTCACCTCTGAGGTCAGGCTCCAGGGTCCTCGGTCTCTAAGTCACTCCTAGCTGTCACTCTCTGGTCCCGTGGTCCCTTTCCTGAAGAAACCCCTCAGCTCTCCTCCTGTCTTAGGTCTAGCCATGGGAAAGGAATCAACACTGACTGAGCATCTGCTCTGGCCAGCCCTGCCCTACCTGCTCATGCCACTTACACGAGACAACACAAAGCAGGAAGGGTTAAGGGGCTGGTCAGTAACAGGGTCGAGAAACCATGATTCTGAATCCAAACACAATGGGTTCTAACAGCCCAGCAGGTTCTAATACACAAAGGAAGCCAGGAAACCTAATGAGCAATGGGTGCCCATCAATCAGCCTTACCCAGGGAGGTCAGAGCGCTACAGTTGTCCTGCCTTTCATCTCCACACAGGTCCACCCGAGGTGACTCCACCGCTGTCCCTCCAGGGGAGACACTCAGGGCCACAGCTTCCATTTTCAGCAGCCCCTGCAATAACAGGTCACCTCGCCCAGCTCCTCTGTGCAACATCAGCCCAGAGCTGGGCACATGCAGAGAAGGCACATCCCCAGAGGGGCTGTGGAAAAGGGCACGTGGGCACCGTTACCGAGTTAGTCCTCGTTTGTCAACAAAATGGTCACTAAAGAAGGAATGTTACACACATTCAGAGAAGTACTTTCACTTAATCCTAAACATCCCCAAAGTGAAAAGGTCAGGAAACCAGGGCAGTGCAGTGAAAGCAGTGAAACCGGATCCAAACCTCCCAAACACTTTGGGGTGTGCTCTGGCGAGGTGGGGGTGGGGCACTGATGTTAATACTTTCAAAATACAATGAAATCTAGGTCTGAGGTGAGGTGGGTCAGGAAAGACTGGGCAAGAAGTTAAAACCCAGTGTAAGTAAACACTGTTCCCAGTGTAATACTAAACCTTCTCCAAGAGGACACAGCTTATGTGTGCCTTCAAGGGGAGGACTAGAGGGCAGAGCCATGTCTGTGGGGGCACTAACACACAGTTGATGACACTTCAGAAAACCGAAGTAAGTCATGATGACGAGACCTGCGGTTTGCACTGGCTGAGCTGCTCCTGCTGACCAGGAACATCCTGCTGAGGAAGCAGCTGACCAAACAGATGAGGTTAGGAAGACTGGGGAAGCACAGACAGCCCCCTCACTGGGAGGAAACCAGGAAAATCCTCTTCCGTGGGCACCGCCATAAAGGCAGACAATGGTAAGCAACCATGGGATAAAGGAGAAAACTCAAACCCCTTAGGGACCTGCGGGGGTGGAGGACATGTGAGGAGAAGGGATTTAACCAGGAGCCCAGCAGGGAGGGATGCTGGTGCTGGGAGGGAGGGCTCCAGCTCACCTGGGACTCTGGGGTGAGCCTGGCAGCCACCACTGTGTCTTCTATGCAGCCCCCTCCCAGGGCAAGCCCAGGAACCTGCAGAGCTGAGGAGGAGAGCTCTGGATGAGATATGCCCTCACATGCAGCCTCCCCGCCCGTGGAGTCCAAGCTCAAACATTCCTGCCCAAGAGCTTATACAGTATGCTCCTTTCCAAAATCCCGACCCCTCCCAGCTCCTGTCCTAGAGCCCACTGAGATCTGCTGTCTCTGTAGATACACAAAATCGAGGATCCTTGGTAGGAATGATGTAATGAAAACAAAATAATATGTTTTTCATCTGTTGATCCTCTGTACTTTGCCGGGGGGACCGGGGGTGGATAATGTTTTAGTTATAATGTTTTAGTAGCTATTAGGTGGCTTTCTGCTTTCGTTTTGGAAAACTAAGAACAGAAAGACAGAATGAGCATCAAGTTGTATAAAATTTGCTCATATCTAGAGAAAAATAAAAAGACTCAGGTTTCTCTGGAGGAGGCAAACTTTAAAAGGGCACAAGACAGTTAGTTTGCACTGGAACCTCCGTTAAGAAGTGAAGACTCTTAAGAAGTGAACACTAGCATGTCCCAGCGCTGTGATCGGAAACCAAAACACATGTCCAGGGCTTATGAGGAAACACCTCGGAAAGCACAGTCATGGTCTATGGAGTGAATGTCATGCTACTTTAATAACAGACTTAGGTTTTAGAAGATTTATATTCTTTAATTTGCAATAGTCCTAAAGTCCTACTGGCTTTACAGATTCTGTTCATTTTCTAAAACTGTATTATTCGTGTTTTACTTGCCGTCTTCCCCACTAGAATGGAAGCACCACTGCAGGAAGGGCTCTGCCTCGGTGATGGCTCTGCCCCCAGCACTAGCAACACTGGCCGCCACACAGGCCAGTCCTCACCTCTGTCTGGTAAGAGCTGAGATCCCACAGATTCATGCTTGAGCAGAGCCTTCATTGGGTGAAACTGGCTACTTTGTGACCTGCGGGATGGTGTCAACACTGACATCTTGCAACAGAGCAGTTCTTGACCCTGGTCACCACCTGGAACCTAGAATTTATCATTTATTTTCACTTATTCATCAAACATTTCTACACATTTTCTATGCATCTGACACTGTTTCCATAAGCATTAAAAATATTAACTCCTGTAAAACAGACAACCACCACCTTAGGTTGCTACTGTCATCCCCATTTCACTGAAGGGGAAACTAAAGCAAAGACAGCTTAAACAGTTTTCCCAGCCCTGGCCAGTTTTGCTCAGCGTTTAGCGTGTCGGTCTACGGTCCAGAAAGACCCGGGTTCGGTTCCCACTAAGGGCACGTACCTCGGTTGCAGTTTGTCCCCGGCCCTGGATGGGTTGTGCGGGTGGTAACCACTCAATATGTCCCTTTCACGTTGATGTTTCTCTCTCACTGGCTCTCTTCCTTTCTCTCCCTCCCACTCTATCGGAACAAAAAATGAAAAAATGTCCTCAGGTGAGGATAAAAAATAAATAAACAGTTTTCCCAGGTCACCCAGCTACTCAGTGTCAGTGCTCCAGTGGGCGCTCAGGGGAGTGACTCCGGAGCCCATGCTCCTGACCATCCTCTGTGCTTCCTCATCACACACTTTGTGCTTTCATGAAAACTCTTTGGTAACTGGGCCTAAGTTCTCAGAGAATATATCTTCTCTTCCTTGAAAAATTAGGATAATAATTTCTAGCTTACAGGGTTTGGGGACCAGTAAATAAGGTCACAGTATGTGAAATCACCTTACACAGGCCCTGCACATGGTATGTCCTGGTGGATTGCAGGCTTCCCTCCAGACATTTATAGCTAAGTCAGTTTCCAAGTGACTTTCTGAGGTGCAGCTCAGAATTCGCCACATCCTCTGTGAGGAGTGAATAGCCTGCCCCGACCAGTGACTCAGTGGTTAGAGCACGGCCCACACACCAAAGGGTCTCAGTTTCCATCCCAGTCAAAGACATGTACCTGGGTTGCAGGTTTGATGCCCCGTCCTGGTTGGGGCATGTGCAGGAGGCTACGGATTGATGTCTCCCTCCCTCCCTCCCTCTCCCTCTCCCTCTCCCTCTCCCTCTCTCTCCCCGCTTCCCTCACTTCCTCCCTTTCTAAAAAAAAATCAATGGAAATACCCTCAGGTGAGGATTAACGAAAAAGGAAAGTGAAGATGAGTGACCTGAAATGATTTTCACCATTACAGCACTAGGGGCACTGTCTCCCAAATAGTCCATGAGTATAAATAGGGAAAACAAACAACAATCACCATGTAAGCTCACTCGCGCACACGAATTTAATCCTCACTTGAGGGTGTTTTTTGTTTTTTATTCCTCACCTGAGGATATTTTTCTACTTATTATCAGATAGAGTGGGAGGGAGGGAGAGAGGGAGGGAAGGAGGGAGGGAGAGAGAAACATCAATGTGATAAAGTCACATTGACTAGTTGCCTCCTGCATGACCTGACCAGGGCCAGGAACAAACCACAACTGAGGTACATGCCCTTGAGAGGAATCGAACCCACAACTGATTGGTCCACGGGCCAACGTTCTAACAGCTGAGCCAAACCGGCCAGGACCTGAGGGTATTTTTTTATTTACTTAATTTGAGAATGAGGAAGGGAGAGAAAGAGAGAGAAACATCAATATGAAAAACATCGATCACTTGCCTTCCGTAGGCACCCTGACGGGTAATTGAACCCACCACCTTTTGGTACTCAGGACAATGCTCCAAACAACAAAGCAACACCGGCCAGGACAGAAAAAAATACGTTTTTACTTTTACTGGCCTCTAAGAGAGATTCAGCATTTTCTTCCATTATATATGGAGGCAGCAAAGCCAAGTGGAATAAGCACACCCAGGAATTTGCAACAGGAATTGCTGGTGTCTTCACATCACACTACAACCAGGCCAGGGCTGTCCAAGTCGCTCATGCTTGTAACCAGTCATCAGGCCTGTCCCTAGATCTTACTATTCAGTGCGTTAATCTTTAAAAGCACATACATAACTTTGTCACAAATGTGTTTAATGCCCTGCTGTTTCAATATAATTGAGTCATTTTTTAATCGTTTATATATTTTAAAATATTATGAAAAAAATAAAAGTAAAAATAAAATATTATTATGAGAAGGGGCCCAGGGACTTCACCTTACTGCGGAGGTTCACGGTGCACAAAGAGACTGTGAACTCGGGATCTTAAAGGAATGCCCCACACTGGGCTCGTGAGATTTCAGGAGGAGACTGACCAGGCGCTCACATGCTGAACCCCTCTACCTGTGACACAGGCTCCTCCAGCTGCCTCTGCAGGTACTCCAACAGCAACACGGCCTCCTCCCCACTCTGCGGGTGCTGCTCCCGCACCTGGGCCTGCAGCTCCGCGGGCAGGATGCTCAGGAACTGCTCCAGCACCAGCAGCTCCAGCATCTGCTCCTTGCTGTGCACCTCGGGCCGCAGCCACAGCCGGCAGAGCTCGCGGAGCCGGCTCAGCGCCCATCGGGGGCCCCCGGCTGCGGGGTAGCGGAAGCCGCGGAAGCGCTGGCGGGACTGCTCCGAACAGTGGACACGGCTGCCCCTCAAACTGACCTCCTCTGCTAAGGCAGAGGTCTCCTCGTCCTCCACCTTTATGACAAGAAGCCCTGTCCGGTCCTCAGCCGACGGGATGTCCACGGCCCAGCTTTCTCCAGACTCTCTAGCCATCCTGGGCCCTGGCCACACTCGGACCTGTCCGCAGCTGGAGCTGTTTCCACTGAAGGTTCCTGAAGTGGGAGGTCGCTGTCAGGCAGTCAAAAAGTCAGTGGCCCATTCTGTGTGCTCAGGAGATGGAGCACATTGCTGGGGAGGAGCTGCGAAGATTCCTGCCCCAAGTTCAGGGGCCTCTGGTTCCACGTCTCTGCAGGACAAACAGCACTTTAGCTCTGAGCCCAGCTAAACATCCTCTCCTCTGAACAGCCTTTTTCATCCCCTAGGCCCAACGAACTGTCTCCTCCAATGACACTTCCTACATTCTTTGCAAAATGAACAAGATACTTAAGGAAAAGGTATGCTCAGAATGCTCAAAAAACTTCAAATCGAAAAATGAAACAGCAGAAGCACTTGTGCATCCTTGTTCTTTACCCTGCTGGACTGAGCCTCTTGAAAACAGCTGTCTCTAGCTTACTCATTTTTTTTTTCTTCCCCAGGTCCAGACACAGGTAAATACAGAATAAGTTTGTTGTTGTGGTCTACATGAAAGGATGAATGAAGATGACAGCATTAGGTTAAGAATTATCTCCGAAAGGCACCTTGTTGGTGGTCCAGGAAACGAAGGAAGGGAGAGGGTAGTGGAGATCACAGGTCACTCACTCTCTCATTAGCCACAACCAGAAGACATGGGACCTAGGCCTGCCCTCGAATTCCAGGGACAGGAGCACTGGGATTCCTCTGAACTAGATGAGACTAAATTTTAAACCCTAAGTGACTGAAAACCTATTTGACTGGGGTCAAGTGTTAGTAAGCTCCTCTTCACTCTGTAGAACGGAGAACTATGAAATATAAGGTTGGTAGACAATTCCACATCTATACCTTCTGAAGTTTTGTCCTTAACCTAACCTTCTGCAGTTCTGAGTATGACAGGGAGGGGGTGGCTCTTAGGAAACTGAGAGACCCAGACAATACCTCCTAATGAGCTGCCACGACAGATCTAGGGCCATGCCACATGAACAAATAATGCCAAAATAAGTGTGCCCCAGTCTCTTTAAGTTTCTAGACCCAAATACCAGTGCACAAGTACTAACCCTGTTTCCAGGAGCAAATATGCAATGGCTCCCATTGCCAAAGCTTGTCTGTGGGTGACCCAAGAATCCCCAGTCTCCAAGGCCATGAGGCACGGACCCAGACACGCAGGAATGGCCCTAGACAAGGGACATCTCTCCTAGGCCCCAGGCTGGGACTCCTGACACCACTCCACTGGCAACTGATGCCCTTCCATTCCCAGGCCTCTGCCAGGGGTCTCCCTCCTCCAAGACTTGGCTGCCGGAGTGGCTGAGGGAGGTGCTTCCATACACCCCTTCCACATACACACCCCTCTACCGAGGACATGCACACACACCCTTACCCCGGGATAAAACAGCGGCGGGACTGCAGGAGGACAGCCACCAAAGGGTACTTAACCCGGCACCAGGACGTCCCCCACTCACAACACAACAGGCTGACCAAGTGTCCGAAACTCACAAACCCTCGCGGGGCGGGCTCAAGGGCCACTTCTGACCTCTCTGCCACCGCCAGACGCTCTGTGGTTCACCAGCTCCCCTGCCCTAGGCCCATTCCAGAGGCTTTTAAAAATAACTTTAACAGTTGTAACCAATGGAGAAATGTTAGGTGCAGGTCTCCATCTGTAGTTCGCCACATTTGCGAATAGAAGGTAGTAGAAAACCCTACAAAAATACATAAGAAAATTAATGAGGCACACCGGTGAGGGGTAAACGTGAGAAACTGAGTGGAAAAGCAAGCCAAGGATGAGCGGAAGAGTATACTGTACTGTTTTCATTGTTTTTTCTTTATTGATTTTAGAAAGAGAGAAAGGGATAAGGAGAAAGAGAGAGAAATACCGATTGGCTGTCTCCTGCACACCCCACAATGGGGATTTGGCCCACAACCTGGGCATGTGCTCTACCAGGAATCCAATGGGAACCTCTTGGTGGATAGGTCGATGCTCAACCTCTGAGCCACACCAGCCCGGCTTCATTATACTTTTTAAATTAGACTTGATTCTACTACCTAGTTAAAACATCATTTACATGGAAAATTGAAGATAATCTAATACTTAGATTATGATGATCATTAAGAGCTCAGCTAAGTTATACAATTAAAAAAAAATTTTTTTTTAAATCCTCTGTTGTAACCCAGGAGAAATCAACCTCACTCGGACACAAAGTAATTTTGAATATTGGGAACTTTATTACCTGCGCAGGGACTGCAGCCAACCTACACAGAGGAGAACTGCAGCCCCCAGCTCAGGGGGAGGGTTGCTTATATAGGACAGCGGTCATTCAAGAGTTTAGCAGAGCAAGCAAGCTGCGTGTACAGAAGCGGAGGCAGTTAGCCATAAGCAAGAGGGAACGGAGGTGGGAGGGAGCTGAGGCAAAAGGGAACTGGGTGAACTGGGTCAGCACACATCTATCCTGCTATTCATTCTATTATCTAAGTTCTAAAAACTAACAAATTCGCTTAGAGGACACATTCATTTAGAGGAGTATCAGGCCAGCTGGTGCTTCCTCAGGTTGCCTCTGAAAGCTTCCTAGTTGGCCTTTGGTTTACTTAATCAGGACAAAGTGATAGGAGCAGGTTATTACACCTCACCCAAGGATATCTTTCCATTTATCTTCAGACAGAGTGGGAGGGAAGGGGGGGGGGAGAGAGAGAGAAAGAGAGAGAGACATCGATGTGAGAGAGACAGTTACCTCCCACATGACACGGACCAGGGCCAGGGACCGAAATGCAACCGAAGTACATGCCCTTGACTGGAATCAAACCCCCAACTCTTTGGTCTGTGGCCTGATGCTCTAACCACTGAGCAAAACTAGCCAGGGCCAATTTTAAAAATGTTATACTCACAAATGCATTTCCCATCAGAAACACAATTTTTTTTTTATCCTCACCCAAGGACATTTTTTGAGATTTTGTTCAGATAGAGTGGGAGGGAGAGAGAGAAACATCAATGTGAAAGGGACACATCGAGTGGTTGCTACCCACACGACCCAACCAGGGCCGGGGACAAACCACAACCGAGGTACATGCCCTTAGCAGGAACCGAACCCAGGTCTCTCTGGACTGCAGGCCAACACTCTAACCGCTGAGCCAAACTGGCCAGGAACACAAATTTTAAAATGTAATGTTATGAGAACAATTACAGCACCAAAGGAACATATGATACCCTCATGAAAACAGTATAAAACTTAATTTATTAAGGATACATCATGGAGATGCATACCATGTCTGTAAATAGGAGAATTCAATATCATAAAGATGTCTCTCCTTCCTAAATTAATATACAAATTCAATGAAAAGCCAATAAAAATCACAAGAATGTATTCTGTGGATTTTAACTAGTTGGTTCTAAATTTATATGGCATAATGAAAATGACAAATATCCAAGGGATTTTTTGAGCAAATGGAGGTGCAGAAACTTTATCTATCTTATGTAAGGATTTATTACAAATGTATAATACTTAAGACAGTGTAGTATTGGCACAAGTAGAGACAAATAGACCAAAGGAACAGAAGTGAGGGCTGAGAAACAAATAGGCATTGATGGGTGTTTGGTATGTGACAAATGTGGCATTACGAGTGACTGAGGAAAGAAGGAGCTACTTGACAAATTCTACTGTGGTATTTGAATATAAAATGAAAAAATAAAATAAAATTGGATCCCTATTTCATCCATGCACAAAAATAAATTCCAGTAAGATTTAAGACAGCCCTGATTGGGTAGCTCAGCTGGTTACAGCATCATCCCAGTACACCAAGGCTGCAGTCTGATCTCCAGTCAGGGCACATACAGGAAGCAACCAAGGAATGCAAAATAAATGGAACAACAAAATGGTGTCTCTCTCTCCCATCCTCTATCTCTCTAAAATCAATAAACTAAAAAAATACAAAATTAAGATTAAAGGCAGTAAAAAGTGAAATGTTAAGACTTTTAAAAAGAAATTTAGGATCATTTCTTTATGACCTCATGTCACGCAAGATTTGCTTTAAAATGTACAAACATATAAACTGTGAAGCAAAAAATAAATCTGACCTCATTACAAATTAAAACTACATTTAAAAATACACCAGAAAGTGCTGTAAAAGACAAGCAGAACACTGGGAGAAGGTATCTGCAACATTTGTAATCAACAAAGGATCCATCAGTACACAGAATGTATAATGAACGTTTTAAAAATTAAACAAAACCTAGAAATTAAACAGGAAAAAAAAAAGGCAAACAAAGTGCACAAGCAACTCACACAGGGGGTGTCTTGAATGGCCCATAAACATAGCAAATATGCTGAATCCTTAGTAATTAAGGAAAAGCCATTTCATAGCCCCACTAGATCAACAACCTTTGTAAAAAACCTGTAACTCTCAATTATAGTTTGTGAGAGTATAAACTGGTACACTCATCTTAAAATGCAATTTTGAGCACTGCCAGGCGTGGCTCAGTGGATTGAGTGTCCTGTCCCATGGACTGAGAGGTCCCAGTTCCATTCCCAGTCACAGCACATGCCTGGTTGCTGGATCAATCCCTAGTAGGGGGCATACAGGAGGCTGCCAATGAACGTTTGAATAAATAAAAACATTTGGAAATATAAAGTTGAAAATTATATACACATTGTCCCAGCAACTTCCAATATATATGTGGTAGGAGTTCTACTACATAAATTAGAATGTTCACTGAGTGACTACTCCAGGCCAGTTTTAGGTGCTCAGGATACAACAGGGGCAAATAAAGGGCAAAAATTCTTACCCTCAGAGAACTAACGTTCCAGGGGCCAAAAGTGGTCCCTGAGCCCCCTAATAATACGCAGAATAAATACGTAAAGTGGAATGGTAGTTGAGCACTATGATTTAAAAAAAAGAATAAAGTAATATTGGGATAAAGAGATCAGAAGTCTGGCATGGAAAAGGGCTAGCTGAAGTAAAAAATCAGAAAGTCAGTATAGGTCACATTAAGGAGGTGACATGTTAAGATCTGGAAGAGATGAAGGAGTTAGCCCCATGCGTGTCTGAAGAACAGTGTTTCTGGCAGAGGAAACAAGAATGCAGAGTGCACAGTCCAGTCCAGCATCTGGCTAGGTTAGCTTGAGTTCCCAGCTGCATAGGGCCCCGGGGTTTTACAGGGTTTAGGTCACCCAGAGCCAATAGCACCTG